ATAACTCCTGTTGTTGCCCTGAACTCTGGGCCTCAGTCAAACAAAACAGAGGTTAGTTGAGACACATTAATCAGTAATAAGGAGCCACGAGGAAGCCAGAGAAGTGAATATTTTCAGTGTGAGGTTGTGTTGTTGTTTCTTTAACTTCGCAGATGAAATGTTGACAAATGAGCGCTGCTTTGCTTCCAGTTACAAAGTTTCCATGTTGGAAACGGCAGCGTGCAAACACGTGTGAACTTTATGAGCTGCGATGATGTGGTAAAGGGACCTGGGGAGATTCTGGAGTGAAACCTGAGCAGATTATAAACTGTAAACCTCGTATATCTTCAGCCTTGAGTCACTGAAGGATCCACTGACGCGCCCAGCCTCCCTCAGGATGTGTTTTCCATGATTATTCAGTTCTTTAGGGAGGGTGCAGCAGGTGAGGGGTGTGTCCAGGTGACTCAGCTAGGAGGCATCTGCAGCTACAGTGGTTGTGTGTCTTGTGTCTTTAATCAGAAGCAGGCTGTGGTATGTTCAACTCCACCTGAACCACGGTGTTAAAGAAGGCTTCAGGATTATACAAAAGGTGCGACAATACAAGCACAACTGCACAAACAACAGAACTGTTTGTTCCTCTAAGCCAGGGGTGTCAAACACAAGGCTCGGGACCCAGCAAAGACTCCAATCTGGCTTTAGAAATCGTTCGTATAAATTTTTTTTTTTTTTTAAGTTCATACAGCTTTTCCTGCTCATAAAGAGCTCCCCAAAGACAAAGAGGTACTACAAAGTAATTAAGTAGCAGATAATAAATTTAATAACAAATGGTGGTTTTTTTGTACAGTCTATTACAGAAATTTGTTTTTCTTTACAATGTCAGTAAAATTTATTTCTCATTTAAATCATGCTAACATGTTTCTTTTATTTACAAAAGCAGCATTTGTCTTCTATCTTTTGGACAATTAGAAACTAATTTCTGCATCTGCAAGTGGAACAAAATAAAATCTGCTCACAGTCTTCATGTTAAGGTCAGAGGTCATGATTCAACAATAAGAGACTGGGAATCAATGGCACCCATGGGAGAAAACCAGCGATGACCAAAAAGAACACAGAGGCTCATTTCACCGTCAACCCCCCAACAACACAAAACACAACATCATACTGATGACGCCCCACACTTCAGGGAAAATATTCTGTGGTCTGACGAGTGAAAGTTGCACTTTTTGTAAATTGTGAGTCCAGTTACATCATCAAACATGGTGGTGGTAGTGTGATAATCTTCAGGATATGGATGACTTGGATTGATGCAACCATGAATTCTGCTCTTTACCAGAAAATGCTTAAGAAGAAAGTCAAACAAAAAGTTAATGAGCTCAAGCTTAAACTCTGGGTATGCAGCAGGACAATGAACCAAAAAACAGCAGCAAGTCCACCTCTGGATGACTACAATTCTTGATTGCAGCCTATTGTGGCACAACCAGTTATTAGTTTAGGAGGCAGTTAGTATGTTTAAAAAAAAAGAAAAGAAAAAAAGGTAGGTTTAGGTACCTTTTCACCCTTAATAAATTAAATCTTACAAAAATACCCAAAACAATTTAAGTAAAACAAAATGAGCTTGATGATCTGAAACATGCAGGTGCAACAAAGACAGACAAAGAAAAAAGAGACTAGGAGTTGAACAGATACTTTTTCGCAGCACTATAATGAAATATTTGTATACTTTTTTTCCTCTTTTTTACTTTTTATATATTTATCTGGGTGTATGTAAACAGTCCATGTCTCAAACACAGAATCTTGTTTTTTGCGCAAATTAAGCTGTGAGCATGATCTCAGAAGCACAAAAAAAGAAACAAATGTTTCTGTAAAATGTAAAAATCATCACTCAAAACTATTCCATCCATTGTGTTTGTGGACACTCTGGAGACAACCATGCTACAGCCCATTTATAATCACCAGTTAACCTAACAGGTAAGTCTATGTGAGGAAGGTGAAAGAAACCCACAGTCACAGGGAGAGCATGCAGACTCCAGACTGAAAGGCTCCAGCTGGCCAGAAAATTAAGATAACAATAAAACTACAATAACATTTTTAAACGATAGAGATTTTTGTGTCTTTTTATTGAAAGTGTGCCTAAACCAGGATTTTATTAGGACCACCCGTGCAGTCTTGTGCCAAGAACGTTAATGAGGCGTACACCAAACACAGACACACTTTTCACTAAACCACCACCACCCCACACTGCTACGTTAATAATCTAGGGAAGGAGAACTGAAAACAATTTTCTGTTGTACTGAATTAGATTAGATGGCACAGGTTTTCCTAATAAACTGGATGGTGAGTGTATGTACACCTTTAAAAGACTGGTAATACCTAAAATTCAGTGCTAGGAGTTACATAAATGCTCTAAGCTGTGTCATAGCCCCACATCAACACTTCCTACTTGCCGTCTCAATTCATTTTCATGTAAAACATCTCTACATCACAAATAATTTTTCTGGATCATTTTTAATGATCAAATTTGCAGTTTTCAAGTTTATTTATATACGGCCAGTTCACATAATAGTTGCCTTGAGGCGTTTTATTTTGCAAAGACAGAAAATAAGCTCAGTCAGACAAACCTCTGTGACACTTGGTAACAGTGGGGAGGAAGAGCCCCCTTTGAACAGGAAGAAACCTTCCGGTTTTAGTAGTTTAGTTTAGACGTGGATTGTGACAAGTATGCTAACTAAATAATTTCAGTGCGATAACAATTACCATTATTAACACACCCAAACTTAATAATTTTACTCTCACAGTTCCAAACTGCTTCCTACGGAGCCCCGCAGGGGACATGGGAGAAAAAAAAAAA